ATTATTTCCTTAGCCTACAAACGGAATAAGCATAATCGAAGGCTACAACCTGGACAGATGTGTTTTCTGGTTTTAAACACTGGATTACTCCTTTCCTCTACTTGAATGATAGCACTGTAGTTTATGCACAGATTCCATATGAGCATAATTAAGTTTAGAAGTTCAAGTCTTTGCACACCTTTAAAAGATAAATTTTAGGACCAACTTGATGGCAATGGACAAATGATTGATTCCATTAAGTGTTCTAAGACGTTTCATAGGAGAAAGACAGGCCGTTTCCTCTCATATATGTAACTCAGAAACTAGAGTCGTCAAGATTCAAAACAACTCAATCACAGGAGGTTTTCCATCTTTAAGCCACTCTTTAGAAGCTTTTTACACATTTTTTATTGCACGGATGCTTAAAATTTTATTTCTCTGGATTCTTAATTTTATTGTTTCATTTCTGTGTTACAGGCAAACATACTTGGGTATAAATCACTTCTCTATTGTTTAATTTCTCACTAGCTGAATATCGCCTGTACAGACTTAGTAAAGTGGGCATTCTGAATTCTGTTTGTTGTCAAATAATACTTTTAATATTAAAAAAAATATTCCATTAAAAATTTGAAGTACAATTTTAATATCAAAGTTTGGAAAAGCAATAATATTTCCAGAATTAATGATACCACAGAAACGACAATGAGGATTTCAAAGAGAAAAATTTTGTTCTGTTATCACATGCCTCCAGCACACTTGCATTTTATAGTCAATTTTAGCCTCTCTATATATTGACTCTCTTGCCTGAGAGCTGTAAACTTTAATAGCGTCTCTGAAACATTACTTGAACTTTAACCTGGAAGGCCAAGGCATTGGAAAGGGCTAAATATGAAAAGACATTCATATTCTTTTTTGTCTAAAAAGGCATCCAGAACCCACAAACAGAAATAAGGAAAAAGTGAGAAGGCTTCAAAATTAATCTGTCAGTAATGTGGAACTGGTAATGATAGAGTTCACTCAGTAATTGCTTGAAAAATTCTTATACACCTGCCACTCCTCTCCTTGGGTGAAAACTACTGTTGATTTCATTTTTAAGATAATAACTTTTTATGTCCCTGGGCTTAGAGGTGAATCCACAATAGTTACTGAATACAGAAAAATCTGTGGAAATATAGAATTCTCCTTTGTTCATTGGAAAATAAAGAAAAAAGTCAATGAGTAATTTTGAAGTTGTTTTCCTTTTAAATATCTGAGATAGCTTGAAGAAAAAACTGCCTACATTTTTGTATTTGAGGTTTCTGTTTTGATTTTTACTGTCAATAAAGATATTAAAATGTTGCTATTATTTGCAAATACATGTTTAAAGGTCCTCAAGTTACTGTTATGGGCCATTGAGTAGACTATGACCTAGAAATTGTATGAACCTTGCCTTATACTGAGTCAACCACACAGTCTCTGTCACACCTGAGCCCATTGCCATAGTCACTATGTCAATCCATTACACCTAAGGTCTTCCCCTCCTGCACTGACTCTCTACCCTTCCAAGCATGGTCCTTTTCCAAGGAACAGTCCCTCCTGGGTACATACTCAAAGTATGTGAGACAAAGTTTCAAAATCCTGACCTCCGAGGATCAACCTGGTTTTACCTTCTGTAGGACAGACTTGATTATTTTCTTGGAAGTCCATGGTATGTTTAATATTCTTCTCCAGCACCACAACTCAAAGGCATAACTTATTTTGCTCTGTCATATTCATTGCCCAGCTTTCAGATGCCTATATAGAGACTGAGAAACCGATGACCTAAATCAGGCACACCTTAGCTTCTAGGCTGATCAAGAGCAGAATTTCTCAACACAACTAGTCTTTTGATTTCTTAATTGCTGATGTTAACAGTGTTAATTGTAATTCCAAACAAGATGAAATAAACAATCTTCTTCCTTTTTCCCTCTGTTGTTACACTGCCTACTGATCTGTGAATAAGGATGTTTGTTTCCTTGATGTTGAGATGCAAATCCATATTGAAAACTGCATCAGTCCTTGACCTTCTGAAGCAAACACACAAAGTCCTCCTCAAATGTCTCAAAGTCATTACTAAGCATGAAAAAGAGGTTGTTGCATTTGTTGTTAGACACCACCGACTAGGTTCAGATTCATGGTGTCTCTGTCTACAATGCAGTGATTTCTGCCTGGCCTCCTTCCCATCATCACAACAGTTTCAAGGCTTGAACACGCGGTTGCAGTCACCATGTCAGTCCATCTTGGTGCTGCTTCCTCTTGTTTTGTTGGCCTTTTACTTTACCAAGTATGATCCTTTTCTCTAGGGACTGTACCTGACTGCCTGCTATCTGTAATTGTGGTGTTAAGTACTGTTGAGTCAGAACCAATCTGTAGGTGACTCTCCAGCAGGTTTTCTGAAGCAGTTTTATTACAAGGAAGGAGATTGCCCATATTTCTCCCATGGAGCAGTGAGTGGATTTGAACCATGTACCCTTGGGATGGCAGCACTGCTCATTTATGCTTAGGCCACCAGAGTTCATGCCACAAGTACTTGATACAAAGTCTCGCTTAAATTCTTTTAAGACAGATTGGTTTTCCTCTGTCAACTGTCATATTTAATATTTTTCACTAGTGCTACAATTCAAAGACATGAATCTTCTCGTTTTCCTTTTGCCTGCATATAAAGTTTTTGAAAATACCATAGTGAGTTGGACTCACTTTAGTCCTCAAAGTCATATCTTTGTTTTTAACACCTTAAAGAGACCACTTGCAGCAGATTTAATGATGTTAATCTGTTGTTCTGATTATTGGTTACTGTTTCTATGAATACTGATTGGAGATACAAGTAAAATTACGTACATGAGAACATAAATCTTTCTTTCATTAATCATAATGTTGCTTATTGATCCATAAAAAAGAATTTTTGTTTTCATCATGTTGAGCTATATTCCAAACTGAAGTTTATAGTCCTTGCCCTTTATTAGTAATGCTTCTATTCTCTTCACTTTCAGCAAGAAAATCTGTACAATCTACAATATATTTCAGATTGTTAATAAATGCACAGTTGTATATAAATACATATTTAAGGTTGTTAGTAAGTGGGAAGACGCTTGAATTTGTGGATCATGGCAAAGTGTGCCTAATTCTGAGAAGAATGGGCATTCCAGAATACTTAATTCTGTTCATATAAAACCTGTACTAAGACCTAGATCAAAAAGTTGTTGTGGGAAGAGAGCAAGGGAACACCGCATGGTTTAAAGCCAGGAAATGTGTGCATTGGGGTCATATCCTTTATCCATACTTACGAAATCTATGTGTTGAGCAAAACATTTGAGAAGGTGGATTCTATGAAGACTGTGGCACCGATAAGGAGGAAGCCTCATCAACTTCCTATGCTATGCAAATGACACAACCTTGTTTGGTGAAAGTGAGGAGGACTGGAAATGCCTGCTCCATAAGATCAAAGACTACAGCTTTAAATATAGATTATGTCTCAATATCAAGAAGACAAAAATCCTCATCACTAGACAGATGTGCAACATCATGATAGGTGGAGAAAAGGGTGGAATTGTCAATGATTTCATCTTACTTGTATCCACAATCAGCACCCTATGAACCAGCAGTCAGAAGATCAGGAGATATTCTGAATTGGGCAAGTCCATTGTGAGGAATCTCTCCAAGGTACTGAACAGCAATGATGTCAGCTTGAATACTAAAGTGCAACTGAGTGAGAACATGGTCTTTTCAACCACCAGCTATGAGTTTCAGTGTTGGCAATGAAAACGATGTCATAAGAGTAACTGATGCCTTTGAGTTGTGGTATTGCAGGAAAGTCCTGAATA